AAATGGTCGGTAATCTGAAAGCCCCATAACCGGAATGATATTGTGTCAGCTTTAATTGAATGAGATTTTTTGAACATCCAATTTTGCTGGGGACTTTAGGATTAGTTGGGTAAGACAGAATGAGATGGAATATTAAATTACAACTCAACGCTAAGATTGTTCTTTTTTGACAAGACGTGAAACCTGGGAAGGAAAATACCCTATTGCCCATTGTTATGATCTGCGCAAGTATGTAAAAAGCTGACGATCGCCACGTAGCAATGGTTCGCCAGGCTGATTTTCATCCTTATCGGGTACGATGAAGGTGATACAGGGACCCGCACGTTCTCTAGCCGGTAATGGCTCGACGTTCTGCGCTAAGCACAGTGTAATAAAGTTGTATCAGGGTATTCTGACCCTCAATCAAAGACCCTTTTTCTTGATCCAATATAACTTTTTTCTGTCTTTTTCAAGTAACAGGGCATTTTGTACAATAACAAAGTAGGGCAGTCATTCAACTGCCTACATCAGCAATTAACAAGTAATAAACACCACTGTAAATATATGTACCTATATAAAATGATTAGTTACATATTATATAAATAATAAATGAAATGAGAAAGAGAAAATGAGCAGACAGGAAAGAATGTAGAAATACTCGTAGACTAGAATAGTCAAGATACAAAATACGTAGGACCCTTTATCTACTAAACTTATACCAATATAAATATAAGCTTCCTGTAGGCTGTACTTTAGTTCTAGTTGATAGTTATCAAAACTGTATATTGGCTCTTCAATGTGGTTCAAGTTACTAGGAATTTGACATTTACGACCAAACACTAATCCAAATGGATTTCTGTATGAACGGTCGTATTATATGCGAAACACCAGTAAGGTACCCATGTACTCCAACTTGCGTAATTATTCTCTGTTTGTGCTCTAACGTACGCACTCAAAACTTTGTGCGAATTTTCTAACGCACCTATGCTCTCGTGGTGACATGCGGTTGGTTGAATATGCTTTACTTTGAGGAGTTCAGTGGCTCCTGACATTGTGGATGAAATAAGCTCTGTACCTTTATCGGTAGTAATTTCATGGCGAATGCCATACCTCAAAATGAAATTTTCAACAAGACTCTTTGCTACTAATATCGCATCTTTACGTTTTAGTGAATAGTCTTCAACAAACTTAGTTAATTCGCACTGAAGAGTTAGTATATAGGAAAAATCGTGTAAGTATGTTGGTAGCGATCTAACTAACTAAATATATTTTCTGAAATGCATAATTGGCTGTCGAAGTAATCACTATAAGTTCTTTGATGTTATGATTTGAATGTTTGATTTTCTGACAACTATCACAACTTTTTACAAAATTTCGTACATATCTGTCAATTCCCTGCCAATAGTGATATCGCTTAATACTACTTGTCAATCTATGAATGCCTGCATGCCCACTAGTCGGAAGTAGGTGAAAATCATTCAAAATTATCCTTTTCTCGTCATTGTTTACTATTTTTTTACACCTTTAATTACACATATACGGGGCTGCCCAATTGTGATATTTTTTTATTTCGTTCAATAGCCACTTTAAAACATTTTCATTACTTTCATCCTTCAAAACAACTAATTCGCCAATGCTTGCTTTCCCACATATGTCAACCGAATCTCTAGACATCTCGTCTCGCGCCAATGTCGATGGAGAATTTTGATTGGCATACAGAGTACCATGTGAAGGAACGTAATATAAGGATCCCGACTGTAAGGTAGGTTTCTTCTTAAGTCGTTTAATCCATTCGATAGAAGTAAAACTTAATTCAATGCTCTCTTTCGGTTTCTTGAGTACCAACTTCTACTATATTAGGTTAATCAGGCCCAATGTTTGTAGTTTCCTCGTTATCCTTTTCGAAACTTTTATTTGTTTTGCATATTGCGCTCTAGTTATTGTTGCTATTGATTTTCTGCTAATGGTTTCCAATTCGTCGGAAGTAATGACTATTCTAGATAACGTTTCGGCAGCAGCATTGTTGGAGCCTTTCACATATTCTACATAAAAATCGAATTCTTCCAACCCTAACCGAAATTTTGTAAGATGGCTAGATACATCGGACATACTAAACAAATACATCAAAGGTCGATCGTCACTGCGGACTTTGAAACGTCGACCGAATAAATAAGGGCGAAAAAGTTTCATACTCAAATATATCGCTAACAGTTCTTTCTCAATGGTGGGCTAATTAACTTCAGCCTTATTCAAGCTCCTGCTCTCATATGCAACCGGTTTTCCATTTTTATTTGATAATATTGCCCCAATGGATTATTAGAGCTACCAGTTTTTAGAGTGAATTTGTTTTCTTCTGAAAATTCGGGGTAGTCTAGAACTGGACTTTGAGAAAGCGCATTTTTGAGAGATTAAAATTCCATTATCTGAGATAGTGTGACTCAAATAAAGAATTTTGTTTTTCCAAAAATTTGCATTTTGAAGGATTTAAATTTAAATTAACCTCTCGTAGTCTATTGAAGACCCTTACAAGAGTTTTATTGTGATCTGAAAAATTTCCTCCGAAAACTATTCAATCATTAAGACATTTGTCATAGTTGAATCCTGACATAGCAACTGTCATTAGTCTTGAAAAAGCTCTTGGACTAATTTTTAATCCCATTGGCAATCTCTTCATTTGCCGTTGATCACGATCTGTGGTAAAAGCTGTATACTTTCTACTTTCTTCAGGTATTTCTACCTGATAATATCCCTGACTAAGGTCTAAATGAGAAAAATATGTAGCTCCTGAGAGTCTAGGATCTCAGTTACACCTGGGAGTGAAAATTTACTGTCAAGTTGCTCATTCAATGCCCTATAATCAGAAACAGCTCTTGACTTCTTTTCTCCACTAGAAGCTTTCTTTTTCGGGACTAACAAAGCTGGTGAAGAACATTCACTCTGAGCACTTTGATTATGTCATTCTCATACATTTCAGAAACTTGTTTATTTATTTCATCTTTCTGGGAGTACGGTAGTCTGTATGGGTTTTTATAGGTGGGTGTAGCATTGTCTTTTACTTGAATGGATTCTTTGTACAGGTCTGTAACTGATAATTTATCGCCTAGCATATGAAAAATATCTGCAAATTTTGCACAAATGCTTTCTATTGAATTTTGTTCTTGTGAATCAAGATAATTTAACTTCATTATGTCAAATAATTGTTTGACTCTCTCTACAGATACTTTAGAATTCAAAAACTGACAACAGTCATAATCACTAGGTTTATCAATTTTCGGAGTACAATTTTTTAAGTAAACATAGGATTCTTATGTGTTTAAGATTTTACCATTGAATGGTCTTGCAACAACACCAGCCATAAAGACTCCTTGGCATAACTACTCGGTAGCACTACACATACATCATTCACACCAGTGGGTAGGTAGCATATTTTTTCACATCTTGGGGCAGCGTTAAAATATGGCTATTACTACTATTAGAATGTAATTGTAAGAATATTTCGTGTCCAGAAGGCGTAGACAGCGATAATGTGTTGCTCTCATAGCTTATTATACCTTTGTATTTCCTTAGAAAGTTTTCACCAATTATACCGCCACTTGACCAAGGTAGGTTATCAAAGACATAAAATGTTTCCTCAAAAACTTGATTTTCGGCCTTTAACCTCAATAAAATGTAAACAAGAGACGTTATGGTTCTGCCTATTCCATTAGCTTCAATATTTTCTTTATAGACTAACATATTTGGTTTTACAATAGTTGATTTTATGGCACATGGCATGGCACCTGTATTAATTAAAAACTTTGTTTCTTTACTGAACACTGTAAAATTTACTGAATTAGCGCAATTCTTTGAATATGTAAACAGCCCATAATTACAATTTTCACCTTTACGGGTGAAAAAAAAATGATGTGCTCTGCACTTGATCTGCACTAGCATTTTCCTCTATCGCATTAATGTTATGTCTACCCGTTCTAGCATCTCGGAGGACACCGCGACCACGCGGAATGAACGTCCGCGATGGTTTCTCGGAAATCGCTGTTGATGTCCTACGTTCCTCTGATTTAGGAAATTATGATTGTTGTTAGAACTAACATTTCTAGTACCGTTTTGCGCATAATTTCTACGTTGTAATGATCCCCTATGAAAAGTATTTCTCCGGAATTGGCGTGTCGTAGCAAATATCTGAGGATTATAGCCAAAAGAACTAGTTTCTGCATCTTCTGCCTAACTAATCGGGTCTTTTAAATATGTAAAATTACGGGATGATATTATAGTACTTAATGTTTTACCCCTAAGACCATCAGAGAATCTTTTAATTGCTGTTTTTTCATTAATTGGTCTTAGTACATTGTACGCGTTCGAATCGCCTTTTGCTTGAGGTGTTGTCAAATTTACGAAAAGGTCTTCGATTTCTTTCCGATAATCCTCTATCGATCGTTCGCCTTGTTTACATCTAAATAATTTTGCTTGCAAAGCGTATCATATTTTATCGTCAATAGATGTCTTTTCATATCCGCCACCAATTCGGTTACGGTTGCGTACTCATTATTTAGTCTGAGCTTCGCATTATTACTCAGTCGCGTTTTTAATACAAAATTCACCAACAGGGGCTTTCCTTCCTCAGTAAGCATCGAATTATAAAGATCTGTAGCGTCAGTCAGTTTATTTGTCGTCTGTTCGGTATCATCCTTTACCGGTAAAAGACTTACAGCTACCTTTAGATCAAACGAAGTCACCTTTGATGCGCTAGTAATACTTGTCTCAGCCTTAAATTGAAATTCGAGAATGTCACCGTAAACTCTCTTAATTTTTGTAACTAATTCCACGACTAGAACAACGTCAGAGTCATTTATGAGTGAATCCTTGATTTTTTTATTAATAGAGGTTATTTCCTAAAGTAGGACGCACCCTTGTTTTTTAGGTCACTATTACAGAGATAATAGAACTGAAAAATACCAGTACATCGAACCAATAAACATAAATATTACTACTTGCAGTTTATAATGCTTATATCATCACTAATATCGTTACTCTTCACCATCTCACTTAGTTTGCATTTTCTATTTAAAACTCCATAGTCTGATTTTTCTTAGTTTGTAACTGTTCTCATGTTATAATTGATCTATAACAGCTCTCACTGATGTGCTGAAAAACATCCTGAAAAATAAAATCTCGTCTAGGCCTCTTCTACCATATCTCTTCTTGATCTGTTCAGTTCATGATTTGTCACATGCACTTCTTTATGGAAAAATATAAGAATGCTCCAACAACCATTGCTATAAGCACAATTAACAAGATTTCGGCCCTTGAAATTTCCCTGCCTTGCTCTCTGTGACGTCCCCGATTGCTGACTGTGCCAATATCTCTTTCTCTTCAACTTTGAACTGAGCTTTTCCCATTTTTGGTAGTCTCACAGACACCTTAACTTGAGGGCCAGTGACAGGGTAGCCATGTAATAAAGCTGAATAAGAGTCTACTGACCCTCAATCAAACACCCTTTTTCTTGGAATGAAATCTAACTTTATTCTGTCTTTTTCAAGTAACAGTGCATTTTCTACAATACAAAAGTAGGGCAGTCATTCAACTGCCTACATCGGCAATTAAGAAGTGATAAACAGGAAAGTATCTAATATTGCAGAATCGGTAGGAATATCGATATGTTATAACTTTTAATATACAGGGTGATATCAGCCATACTTCAACAGAGATGTCGCACCACACTATCACGGTCGACTGCTAAGCGGTTATGGGCTAAAGAACGTAAGGCTCTCTCTATCGGCTTCATCGTACGCGATGAGGATTAATATTAGTTTGGCGAACCATTGGTGGGCGAAAGTCAGATTTTCACCTATTCGCGTACAATGTTTTCAGTTTTCAAACGCTGCCTGTTGCCTAATGAGCTAAAAAGCAAACGTCTATTCCAATCCATTATTATAGTCTATAATGTGCTCCACACAAGGTGAAAATAATAAATCAGCCGTATAACTCAAAGCTAACATCGTTATCAAAACAGCTTCATATATTACTCAAACTATACATGAATGTCGTTCATTAAAATAAATAAATAAAATACTTAATGGACATTACTTGCCCGCTATCATAATACAGAATGATTTTTTGAAAATATTTCCAAAATGGTTTTAATGAGTTTTGTATCAAATTAAAGGAGTTACCACTGAGGTTTATAATTATGATTAAAGAATAATCTAAAAAACATCTAAGGGCAATATATTCCAGATGGCGTAGGAAACCTAGAACTGAAACTTACGTCTTGCTGTGAGCTAGGATTATAATTTTAACGTCGTCGACCTATGTCAACAACGCATGAGACTACATTAACAAAATAACGATGCGAGCAAATTACCGCCCCATCTGAGTCCTTGTGTTCGATGGATGTAAGTGTGACTAGAAGAAATTTGTCAACGCGAGGCAATAACTACGACTTTTTAATAATTGGCCTTATAAAAATAATATATAATGTTAATGAGCATACAATGATATACTGAGTATGTTTATCCGATTAGATAATTTTTTGCATATATGTTCAGTGTCCCTTATTAGTAAAATGATTAAATTTTCAGCTTGATTAGTCAACTGACTGCGGAACCTGGTTCAATAATGTAGTGAGGATCCACGATTTCTTATACTCTCATTGACACGCCTGGGCAGCGTGATGATAAGGTGGTCGATTTCCTGTTGAGGCTACTGCAACTTCGTGAGTAAGAGCTGCTAAGGTATGTGGAGGGTGCTGCAAATTCCAGAGCCTACGACCTATCATGTCGCAGACATGTTCAATTGGAGATAGGTCAGGCGATCGTGGTGGCCAAGGTAAACGGTTGATGCGATGTTGATCCATGAAGGCTAACAATGCTCTGGCTACATGCGGTCTCGCGTTGCCTTGCTGAAAAATCGGGTTTTGGATGGTGTTTAGGTATGGAATACGATGAGGCTCCACTACTTCCTGAATATAGCGTCGGGCTTCCATATTGCCTCTCACGAAAGTTAGTGGTGATCTCCTACCATAAGCAATAGCACCCCATACCATAACTTCCATGGTTTGGTGAACGTGACGCTCTCTGTCAAATTGTGGGTCACGTCTTTCACCCCGTCGCCTTCTCACCCTTGCCCGACCATCGTGCATCCCCAGACAGAATCGGGATTCGTCACTAAAGACCATCTGATTCCATTCGCAGTCCAATAGAATTCTTTCTCTACACCAGAGCAAACGGTTACGCCGATGTTCAGCTGTGAGAGGTAGCATCCAATATGGGCGATAAGAAAAAAGGCCAAACTGTCGTATTCGGCGATATACCGTACGCATACCAACCATTCTTCCATGCTCTTCAAGCCACTGATTATTTAGTGATGCCTCGAGTACTGCTGAATCTGTCTCTAAGAGCCAGAAGTTTTAACCGGCGATCTTGTCGGCCTGTGGTCCCTCTGGGACGTCCAGAAACCCTCACTCGCTGTCCTCGGCCATCCTGAGTCCTCGTTCACACTGCAGTATACAGCGTAAGGATCTGTTGATCTTCCTAGAAACTTCTCATATCGATAGACCGGCTTCACGCAACCCGACAATTCGACTACTCTCAAAGTCACTTAGCTGAGACACCCGACGAATTCTACGCACTCTAGGCATTTTGAGCAATCACAAAAAGCTCTCAATAAGATACACGAAATTTAACATTTAACTGAAACCGTAAATGTACGAAAACAATACACGCAGCCACCACAAAAACTTAACAGAAAAACCTGACCATTTTATCACTTGTTAATGGCAAGATAAATCAATATCTAAAAAATTATTTTATTCTGATAAACATACTATACGTAGGTGTTTACCTTGTTTTGTCACTCAGTATACAATCCTTTCTATACCCCACCCCCACTTACTTTTTGAACGGTGCAAGCAAAACAGGCGAAATTCGGGTTAGTAAAATTATTTTTTTTTTTGGGAAAAAGGGGGACGTGTGCATGGAACACACATTCTGGCTTCGCTATAGAGATCCGTCCGGTGGCACCTCCGTGTTCGTCAGTCAAAAACCATCTACCACCTACATCAGCGGCAATTGATTAATAGACCCTTGATGTCTGCCACTATACCACCATAGCTGCCTGAATCCAGGGAATACTGTATATCAGAGTAGAAGTGCTGGTTGAAAATTCTAGTGGACGGGCGCCATTTTGGAAAAAAGTCTTTAATTGACAGGGGCGTCACGAAATACCTCATTTTTAAGCTTTGAAGGATATTATTATAACATGCTATAGCGTTTTATATTTAGCGGTTGAATCATAAACGATTCAATGTAGGAAACCACGTTAACAGCCCACTAGTCCATCATTCTGAAGTATAGTAAATTTCTATCTAGGGTTATAAATTACTGACAAAGAGCTCCAAAATGCGGTATAACATGATACCCCTTCTTACTAAAAAAACCTTGGCGCCTGTCCGCCATCTTGAAATTTTCAACTGTCACTGTTATGACATCACCTACTATGACGCCATATCTCATAGTTCACAATCACCTCAAATCTTACAAAAAATCAGTATAGCCGTCTCAGACATTATGAAGACATCATAAAACTATCTGAAATCTAAGGAAAAATGGATCTTCAACTTACCTATCACAAATCTCGTATTTCGTCTCGTTGGGCTGAACTAGCGTTGTAAATGTGGCCGTTGGAAGCACAGTAGCCCCTGCAATCAGCCAAACTAGAGCTATCACACACGTAGCAAAACTCTTGGATATCCTCGGCTTCAACGGCCACATGATCACCATGTACTTGTCTATACTGATGGCCACCAAAGTGTACGCACTTATGAACACTGATAGAGACTGAAACAAAAATACAGAATTAGTAACACATGCCTTTTTTTAAAATGAAACCACCAAGAATCCTGGATCTCAGGCATTCTTGGAATTTGGAAAAGCAAGAGCTGAACCACGGCGGTGCTAGAACCCAGCATCCTAAGGGTACGTTCATAGCGAGGATGCTTCCATATTGTCTTATCATCGCTGGTCTCTTTTTAAAGCCTTATCGGAACGAGCGCGACCTTGAAGAAATACAGCCACCGCTATCAACAGTTCATAAAGGGTTATGTTCGGTTCGTATTAGCCCGTATGTTGGAAGAGTTAGGAACGTGCGTAACAAAAAATTAAATGAATGAAGTTAGTCAGAAGTCAGACAGGCTCATGCAATTGAAATTTGCATATTTAGCTTGCCTTTCTGTACAATTTTGGGGCTTTTTAGGATTCAACCCGCTGAGAAAATACAAATTATTGTAACTATGATAAAATCTCGGGTAAATGACGATCGACGACGATCGTCCACATCCACATAAGTTGAGCAGCGGTGGCCGACTGGCACACATCCATCAAGCGGACTTAGGGTTTGGTCTCTTGTTCTACAGCATTAACTTTATTTCTTGTTAAGGACGCTATTTTGGATTTTCGCACAGATGAATACTGTATCTAACCTTCATAAACCCGAGCGGAGTACAGTTGTACCCCGGACTTCAATTTTTGGGGGTATTTTCTAAAATATTTATATTAACTCACTCTCCTTCCAGGAATATTTCTTAAATATATTTCTAATTTAGCATAGAAAAGTTTAAAGAAATTGCTATTTATTGTAACAAATTATAGTGCGTTTTGTACCTTGCGGTTCAGCTGTACCACGCTCGGTATGTAACATTTTACACTAGAACAAACCAAAGGATGCAGTGTATAGTATATCCTGTATACTACCGATAAATTGACAAAGTAAATCACGACTCAAAGAAAGAGTAATCCGTGGCCGATGGCAATATTTTTCCACCCACTGGACGTTGGTGGCATCAACCCCTGGCGTTGAATAATCCAGATTGGAAAAAATCGTTTGGATCGAAGAATGTTTTTGTAGAAGTTGGGCCAAGAATTAATAAGGAAAACTATAATTCGTAGGTACCATAATGACAATCTTTTACATTCCAATATAAAACAATTCCTGTTAACCATTTTGTCTTAATTAAATGTAAGTAATAAATAACCTGTTCCCGTTATTGGCAGACAACAGAGATTTGCGACAGACGTAAAGACAGGAAATTCCGAAAATTTTGTATTTGATGCAATCAGTACGTATGTGCAGGACATTCAAAAAAAGTAACAGTTTGTAACAAGTCTAATAATTAAATTACTATATAAAACGTCACATTTTCTGATATATTATTTTTTTCTTGATTATTTTTCTCTATATTATAATGATTTCATGTGTTTATTTTTCAATGCTTACAGCACAGGGTGACTTTGAAGTTGAGTCATTAATTTTCAGATAATGATTTTAGAAGAAAATATGTGTGTAAAAATAAAAAAAAAATGTTACCTTGTTTTATAAAGTATCCTCCCGACAAGTATTTCAGTGCGGACCTGTATTTGATCGTGCGGTCTTGGAGCATCGGCATGCCCTCCCCTGTGAGGTCTTAAGTCACCTGATTCACGAGCCCTTTGTACTACATTAACAAAGGCACGAAGGGTTGGTTGCACTCGATTGGGAAACCGATCCGCATAAATCCGTGATGCCGCGGCAGCATTTTGTAAAGACTCCCCCCCCGTAAATAAGAATCACCTCCACAAGTTCAGCATTTTCGTAAACATGTGCCATTTTTTATTTCGTTTGAGCCACCCAACAAACACCACTATTCACTCACGCGTTACCGACTGACACATTGACTGAATACAACTGAATAAAATTGTAGTAAAACATCGTGTTAAGCGTTGCAAATTCTTTCGCTTTTTTGTTTCCGATGCGATGAACCGATAAGGCGGATTATATCCGTCGTTGCCAAACACGAGCACATAATATTATTATTGAGACAGGGCGATACTCAAACTTCTAAAGGGCTATAACTTTTTTACTTTAATTTTACCAGAAAAATGTTAAAGGAAAAAACATTTATTTTGATCAGATCTACTCACTGTTAAAATAAATGACTCAACTTCGAAGTCACCCTGTATATTTTTTAAAACAGAATGTATTTATTTTTGATTAATCAAAAATTAAAAAAAAATAAAGTAAAAAAATGTTGGGGTATATTTGCACCCCACTCGGTACATAATGTAAGTTTTTGATCATGGGCTTATGAAGGTTAACTCTGAAGCCTTAATTATTTATTTCAAAAAAGCAGAATTTCCTATGTAGGCCGTGGAATTATCAGACAGTCATTTGTTGAAATCAATTGCATGTTGTCGATGCTACTAATTCTCCTCTATAAGATGACGTAATCAAATTTCCAATTCGACATTTCCTCTTTCGACTTCAGTCACCGACTTTGTTTTTTTGTATGGACGCTATATTGGAATTTTGTAAATTTAAATGGACTTTTCAGTCTTAAATTATGTGATGTATTTCCTTAGTTGGCCATGAGTTTGCGGTTTGACGAAAATTTTAAGGAAATAGAAAGGTATGTTGTAACCTGAACACAAAATGGAAATTTTATTGGTGGTAAGAATAATAATCATTTATAAGCAGAGGTAAATCATAGTAGATGTTCAAAAAGTCCATTGCTTTGTAAGCAAAGTCCGACTCTTCGCTAAACATTGCTCACCGCTCTATTTATTTCTCTTGTTCTCAGTATTTCAAACTCTGTTGTTATGTTCAATTTCAGTTCTGGTAAGGAACAAATGAAACATGATAATTTCAAGGTTTACCTAGGATATTTTGTTTTTCTAGAATAACTAAGGTTTGGCCATCTCAATGTAAGACATATTATACATTTTTGAAGTCAGAATTAAAAACTCTATTCATCTGTGAAAACTCTAATTATGCCATCTTGTGGGGGAGAAAAAATGAAGCATTCATGTGCAATTTATTTTGGAAGCATACTACAAATGAATTCAGAAAAAATTAAAACGATTTAGGGTAAGTGTCCGCCAATTAAGCGACTTCGGATCTTTTACACTTTCCGAGATCCCAATGGTGAGGGTCGAATATGAAACACACTGTGTAGAACTTGCGTTCAGATAAAGGGTACGGAACGGGGAGTGGGAGAGAGTGAGTTTTTCCATCATTCTAAGTTTAAAGGGTAAATGTACAGAGAAAACTAAGACGAGTAAAAAATGTCTAATAGTTGGGTAGAAATACCGTGAATGGAGGCCAATAAGTTTACCAACGTCATCAAATTGCTATTTGATATACCCTCCTCCGCTCCCAATTTTTAACCACTGCAAAGATTTCCCTGAAAATGAAAATGAAACGTCAAGAAACGATTCTTGAGCTAAGCTACAAAACGTTTTCGTCCTTGCCATAGTAGTAACCTTCTGTGTAATTTTCATCAAAACCCGACCGGTACTTTCCATGTCACAGCCGGGTCAAACAGCAACGGACAGACAGACAAACAGGCGGAAAATCGTCATCTATGAGAAGTTAACCTTTTCAAAGTGTGGATAGTGTAAATAGAAAAACAGCTGTGGCAAATTCTGATATATCTCAGATAATTTTCTATTTTCTGAGCGTGAATATAGCATGACATTGGCTAACTAGAGGTAAAATACATTAATAAATGGTAGTACCTTGATCTTGATACAATATCACGTGAAAACCCCTCGCGTGGGCCGTTATTGCTTGGTAACATTACTCGCATCTGCTTGAACCAAACGCGATGTACGGTCGTGTGAACTTGCCATGGACCACTAGATTAATTAATCAAGCCGTAGGTATGTGGTAAATAGAGAAACGTGGACGCAATGGGCAACAATCCAATCGATTTGTATGAGTGGTCGGTCAAATACAAAGTGCGGCAAACATCGAAATTTCATGCAAGCTTCATTCGACAAAACAAATTCGTAATTCACAACACAGCAATAGCCAGGACACGGTCAGCGTCCAACTAAACAGCGTGTTTTTGTGTTCATAGTTAGGATGTCTTAAAATTAATTTGCCAATTTGACCACGTTTTAAGGGATGAACATAAAATTTTAGTTTTATTTTCACAGGTGCTGTGTTCCGACTGGCGGCACAAAAATCATTGAATGGAATGTCATTTTGCTATATTTTCAACATGTAAGGTAAATAAATAACATATGCGTGCTTTGCTGAAGCGTCGTGATTGAAAAAGTAATGGGGGAAAGTTAATGAAAATGAACACCTGTTTATACAGGGTGTTCCATACTTAAATGGACGTAGTGACCGAGGCCTTTCCATATCCGGAAAAATAAAAAAGCAATAAATTGTTTTTACGCGTACATCTAAACACGCCAAATATTTAATATCACATATCTCAGGCACTATTGAACCGATTTTGTTGAAATTCTGCATAATAGTAAACTTATCTATAGCCTAATCATATTTGTTGAAAATACCCCTGGTTTGCGAAGTAATTGTAAAGTTTGGTTTTGTTGCTACATAAAATGGGTACATCAATTTTTGTGAGGAAAACTTTTTATTCGACAACAAAGAATGAGAAGACGTGTTTTTTTTTAATTCAATCGAAAGTGTTGACAGGAACAAAAAAACTCTTCCGATAAGATTTTTAGGGTTAGTTCAAAGGGCATTTTATATTAAAATATACTAGTTTACCTTGCCGTTAAAAATCGCAAACCATTCCGGAAGATAAAATGTTTTTATGCAAAAAAGGATGGGTTACATATCTTCTTCTAAACAAATTCAAAAATTTCGTATTTGTGAGTAACTCGCAGCAAAGGCACATCCGCTTTGTTTTAAAATGTGTATAGTAACGTATGTTTTTCGAAAAAAAAACCGTAACCTTTGTTTTTCGCATAAAAATAACATTTATCTTTCGGAATGGTTTGTAACTCATATAGATGTATTTCGCTATTAAGTGCTCTTTGAACGAAGTCTGTATATTGCTCAACAAACCAGTAGTGATGCCCGGAAAACAGGTGTTTTGGGATATAAATTCTCAATAAACTATGTGACCAATATAATCCAATTTTGTTGGTGTTATTTAAGAAGTATGAATCCTACAGATTTGAAGAATTTCAAGTAGTTGCGTGAAATCATCGTCGCATTACCAACAAGTGCCAAAACCTGCAAATTGCCTCGTTTTTCGGCCATAACATTTTTGCTGATAGTCGTATCTGTTTATGTCTGATCTCATTTTGTAGGTCTCATAAGCATCTAAAATCTTTTTTTCGCTCCTGTCAACACTTTCGATTGTATCCCAAAAAACACGTTTTCTCATTCTTTGTTGTCAAATATACAGTTTTCCCACAAAAATTGGTGTACCCATTCTTAAATACCCCCTTGAACAACTTGCACCAATAAAACCAGACTTTACAATTATTTCGGGGAAATTTGCTAATATGATTAGACTACTAGGAGCAACGTAAAGCTAGACGGACGGTTGAAAAGCACAGGGCTGGACTCGATTTTCCACTTTTTGTTTGTTACCAGAATCAAACTTTCAAGCTAAATATTGAAACGTTTGACTATGTACGAAAAAAGCCAATGAATGGCGCCAATTAATCATCTAAATATAAATATCTTATCTTTGGCAGTTTATGTGAAAAAAACCCAAAATTTTAAGTTATGAACTTCTGTTCGTCAACATTCTACATATTAATGTTCAAAATCAAACTTGTTTTCGGAACTCAAAATCGCAGGTTCGGATTCAGTTTTTTTTTTATTTTCTGTATTGTATCAAGTGCAATGCCCGGTAAGTTATACTCTGAATTATTTTGTTATTCCGCACAAAAAATAGCAATACATAAAATGGAAAATCAATCTTATGCACCCCATTTAGTTTTTTCGGATGTTATACAACATGAGACCTACACTATTGCAAATGCTCTCAATTTGACTCTCCAGGTCCATTCAAGCTTACGATGAACATTTTCAGAATTGCCACGTTTACATGTTCTCACAGCGTCAGATTTAGCTGCATAATGCACACATAGTACATTACACACTTAGATGTCAAGTCTGAACCTGCATACTATGCTTTTGAGGATTTTCAATTTAATTTTTTCATGTCGGTTTGGAAGTTTGGAAGTAGAATTGCATATTAAATGCAATTTTCTTTTAAGCAGAACTAATGTTGTATCATTATATCAGTTGGTAGGACTAAACCACTAAAAAACTTACCGAAATAGTTAAAAAGGGTTATTTTATTTTCATCATATTATATTAATTGCTTTTTTTGCGAAATAACCTTAATTTCAGAGTATAACTTACATGGAGCTGCACCTCATAAAATACAAGAAAATACAATAATAATAATAATAATAATAATAATAATAATAAACGTCTTTATTTCCAAATAGACTGAGTATATAAAAAATAGCCAAATACGGGCGAAGTTCAGCTGTAGCTGCTCTTCCACTTAACCCGCTATAAAAAGTCTGTACAAAAGGTGAGTGAGACCTACTTATTTTACCCATTACAATTACTAAATGTATATGCAGTGCTTACATTAATACATCTACTATAAAAGAAACATAAACTTGTATCAATATTTTCCTGAAACATGGTTACTACTGCTGGGATAAGAGATATTTTTTTAATTGAGTTTTGAAACTTGAGATGCTCAGAGTTTTATATTGTACCGGAAGGGTGTTATAAATGGAACAAATTTGGTAGCTGAACGATCGTTCAAATTGGGCTGTTCGGAATATCGGCGGTGTCAACAACCCCATGGATCTTATATTGATGTTATGCACATCTGTTCGAAATGTAACTTTTTCAAATAAGTAAGTGGGAGTCTTATACAAAATTATTTTATGATATACTGTTGCGGCATGCAAAAATCTTCTTGTCTCCATGTTCAACCAATTCGCATCTTTCAACTTATGCGATATTCGGTCTCGTCTTCTGACGCCATATATTCATCTGAGGCAAGAATTCTGCGCAACCTGAATTTTTTGTTTGTAAGTGGCAGTTAAGCACGGGCTATACAACATATCAGAAAAATTGAAGTGCGAGAGCACCAACGACTCACATAGATTTATTTTGACTTGAACGGGAAGGTTACGTCTGTTGCCGTACAATATTTTTATGCCTTACGAATGAGCGAATTTACATGTTTTTCAAATCTTAAATTTACATCCAGTGTTACACCCAAGTTCTTTGCTTCACTGACAGTTTCAAGTTGTTGTGCATTGGTGGTAAAGTTAATTGAGTTAGTAACAGCCTGGCGCGCATGCTTTGGCCCAAATACAATTACTTTAGATTTGCTAGAGTTAAGATGTAAACAATGTTCTTCGGCATTCTTTGTCAATAATGATAAATCTCTGTTCATGGTTGCACTCACAATGTCCACATCACTGAGTAGAAAAGTATGATACAGCTGAGTGTCATCAGCATAGCAGTGAATTTTGCCCAGGTATGAAGTATAAATTGCAAAAAGGAGTGGACCCATAATAGAGCCTTGCGGCACGCCTGATTTTAATGCTAATACGTTAAAATAACTTCCCTCCAAGAAAACCTTTTGCTTTCTGCTCTTTAGATACTTACTGAAAAAGTTGACACTATCCGAATCGAGGCCTATAAAATGCAATATATTTAGGAGTAAATTAAAATTGATTGTATCGAAAGCTCGACTAAAATCCAACATTATCAAAACTGTACACCTTCCCTGATCAGTGGCTCTGATAATGTCATCTGTTACATGTAGAAGTGCAGTTGTACAGCTAAAATTCTTTCTAAAACCAGATTGAATTGGAGAAAGCAAAGAAAACTTTGATAGATATTCCATTAATTGCAACTCAACCGCTTTTTCGAATAATTTTGGCAATGCAGGTAAGATGCTTATTCCTCTGAGGTGATTAAAATCTGATGGATTTAGCTTTTTGGGAATTACTATTACAACTCCACTCCCCCATGCTTCTGGAAAAACATTTTGTATCAAACAACAATTTATTATATGCCTGATATAAGGAATAACATGTGGACAGCAAAGTTTTATTAGAAAGATATCCAAGCCATCACAGCCTGCAGCATTTGTTTTAATACCAGAGATATTATATATTTCATCAATTTCTCTAAATTTGAATTTGGAGTTTGTCAGACAGTTATTTTTGTAGAAATTTATTAAGGAATCCGGAGGTTCACTTGGGGAGATGGAATTTATAAAAAAATCATTCAGAAGGTTCACATCCATTGGGTTAGTGGGCAATGAGTTACTAAAGTTATTTTTTCGCATCTTGTTTTGTTTTAATATCCTCCACATTTGCTGAGAGCTGCTATGTAAGAACTTATGGAAGAAATACGCTCTTTTCTCTCTTCCAATAGCGCTAGTGACATAATTCTTTAAATCTTTATAATACTGTAAGTGCGCATGAGTACCTGATCGTTTATATCTTTTAAGTGCTTCATCACGGAGCTGCTGCAATTGTTTGATCGTACCAGTCATCCATGGCGCCCTACCTTTTGTAACGCGTTTTCTAACTAAAGGGGCATGTCTGTCGAATAATTAAACTAAGCAGTTAGTGAAAAAGGCTATTTTCGTATCAATGCTGTCTTGGTCGAACATTTGGAAAAAAGATATACCACGGAGATCATTCAGAAAATGTTCCTCATTGAAAAACTGGAAACTTCTATAAGTGATAAATTTTTCTTTTGAATGTGGATTACCAACTGCATTTTACAAAAAACCAAAAAGTGATCTGATAACAAACTGAGTTCGACCAAGGATTTTTGGGATCCTAAAACGTCTCTAGTTCAACTTTAAGCATTATTTTACAAAATGTTCATTGAACCAAGGTGATAACTCTTGAAATTTCGAGCATTGTTGCACATAAACGATCACATCAAGAGATATTTGAGTAAAGAAACATGTTTAACTAAAAAAAAACCCAAAAAGGCGCAATCAACCTATTTTGCTAATTAATTAGCACCATTCGTTGGCTTTTTGTACATAGTCGAACATTCCAATAGTCAACTTGAAAGGTGCTGGGTTTTATAAAAAACAAAAAATGGGGCCCAATAAGTTGACTTTGCACTTCGCACACAGCGACGTCATCCGTTCAAAAAGGATCATGCTCAGCACACGTTAGACCGTATAGTTGCTATGCTTTCGTTTGTTGTTCCACACATCAAGCCTAGACCATTCTGATGAATTGTCAAAACAGCACAAAACAGTTGTCGTTGGTGTTTTTCATCGGAAAACGTGGCAGAAAGGCAGAGTACCAGTCATATGAGGACACTGACGAAGAGTGGTTGTCACGTGCCAAAATCACGTAACTTTTTTCACTATGTGCCAAAACGCACAATAAGGAACCAAGCCAAAATGAGTTGGTTTCTACTCATTGAGAACAGTACCGACAGGAAAACTGTACCAATTTGTACAAAACACTAGATTACTGGATTGGGTACTGAAAGTTCGAGGAGTAGGACACAATAAGTCCTAGAGGCTGCAGTGCAATCGAGGACTTTGGATAAAAGGATAAAGAAACGAAGAGCGGTCGCCGGCCAATGAAGCCAGACAAGACATTTATCTGTCGTTGCTTTGAGTGCAAGAAATGTAGGGGAAAGTCTGTTATTATTGAAATATGTCTAATAGGTGCGTAACATCAGAACATTGAGATACACCCTCCCCCATCCCCCAATTTTTTCGCCAAAAAATGTTTTTTTAAATTGCGTTGGTTTGATGTTACTCCTAGGTAACTTTATTGTTGTGCAAAATTTCTTCAACATTGGTTAAATAGTACCAGAGATATGTGATGTTAAATATTTGACTTATTTAGATAAATCCTTAAATACTGAGTTTGTATTTTCAGGTATAAAAACATCCCGATTTATACTACCCGCCATTTCAGTATGTAAATGTACATTTAAGTGGGGAATACCTTGTATACGCCACTGTCGCCATGGGATCGCTGTACATTAGAGGTCCCGAAAATCAAATTTCACCCTTGATGAGTGTATTTTGTTTTAAGACATCTAAAATATTTTTTAAATTGCGTTGGTTTGATGTTACTCCTAGGTAACTTTATTGTTGTGCAAAATTTCTTCAACATTGGTTAAATAGTAACAGAGATATGTGATGTTAAATATTTGACTTATTTAGATAAATCCTTAAATACTGAGTTTATATTTTCAGGTATAAAAGCATCCCGATTTATACTACCCGCCATTTCAGTATGTAAATGTACATTTAAGTGGGGAATACCTTGTATACGCCACTGTCGCCATGGGATCGCTGTACATGAGAGGTCCCGAAAATCAAATTACACCCTTGATGAGTGTATTTTGTTTTAAGACATCTAAAATATTTTCAGTGTTTACCTACCTGAAAGTAGTTGATGACAGGACACAGAAATCCACCGAAAGGCCAATACTGCTTCACCAATGACACCGAGGTGAACGGTACGCACAATATGGTGATCAGCATATCACCAACGGCCAAGTTCATGATAAAATAGTTTGTGACGGTGCGCATGCGCGGCGATGACAGCACAGTGTAACAAACGAACACGTTGCCTAGCAGCGCTACCACAAAAATGGTGATGTACATGGAGTAAACGGCCGTTTGAAAGTAAGCGCTAGCCAAAGGGCTGTCAGGATGGAGGAAGTTGTCACAATCTGGATCCGGGTCTTCCGTTCTATTGAGAAGGGACTCCAGAAGAGTGAAGTTGGTGGTGATATTGAGAAGCGCCATCTTGGAGACTGAGTGGGGTCTAGGTGCTCAGGAGAAGACTGGGTTTTTTCTTGTCATGGCGGTGAAAACCTGAAATTAATACAATGTTATCAGTCTTTTTTACGCAAGGGTTTTTGTCCACTAAACGTATTTACCGACTAGATCTTATACGGGTAGTAAGCGCAACAAATGCTTATATGGTATAAGAATAAGAGTAAGATTATATTTATGAGACAGTCGATACGAATAAAAAAAGAAGATTTTGCGGAAGGACTGAACATGACCCGTGTGTTGCGGCGTCACCGCCTACTGCTAGCTCATCGGCTTGAATGCTCGTTCTCGGACTTGATCACCAGCGGGAATTGATAGATGGATTACTTATCCGCCTACAGAAATTTTTGAAGAGCGGAGGTTAGCAAATTTTCTCAGAAGTAGTTATTCCTAGAAATTTTATAGATGGTACATAAAACTACGTTAAATATGCATACTTTAAGAGGGAACATAATTTTCAGGGGGCCTGGAGCTGGAGACTAATTGTGTGAGCATATTTGACTGACATGAGACATTGGATATTTATTTATTTATTTATTTATTTCCAACAGGTGAAACCCAATTACAGGAAACGCTGAAAAAAATAACAATTAAAAAGACATTGTTCTTGGACTTAAATCTATAGTATCACACATTCTAAATAAGATTGGATGTTCTATAGCAGTTAATAATCGATGCACAACTGTCACTGTAAATATCACACCATTCAGTAACACTGTTCATGACGCAGCACATGAGATTAATTGGCGATTTTGTCATAACATTTGTACGGCCAGCTTGACAATAGAATGCCGTTTGTTGTCGACTCCCTAGCCTTGGAACGCGGAAAGATATTTTTTTCAAGTAAATTTTGACAGTCAGTTTTATTGTGAATGAGGCCATACAAAAACGACAGTGAATCCAAATTGAAAAACTCTATATGCTCAGTAAACGTTAGCTTGGTATCAAAAATGACTCCAAGGTCTCTATAAGAGGTGCATCTGTCTATAACCTGACAATTGATGTTATAATTATCATAAATTAAATAGTTAACTTTTCTTGTATAAGTCATAACTTTACATTTCGAAACATTCAGACTGAGACAGTTTCGTGAACACCATGACGAAATTAGAGCTAAGTCATCTTGCAACATGACGCAATCCTCGACTGTCTTGACTGACGTGCAGATTTTAAGGTCATCAGCGAAAAACAAATGGAAACACTTCAGTTCAAAAGACAAGTCATTAATAAATATTAAAAACAATAATGGACCTAGATTTGACCCTTGAGGTACCCCAGACGTGGCCCGATAGTAACTCGACCTATGACCATCATATTCGACAAATAACCTTCTATCCCTCAAATATGAATTCATGAGCGACAGCATTGCATCAGACATATCCACTGTTTTAAGCTTATCCAGAAGTGCATAATGATCAACTTGATCAAACGCCTTCTGAATATCTGTGTGGATGACACCAACTTGTCCCTGACCGTCCAGTACTTCAGAAATGTACTGAGTAATTAGAGCCAAGTTGATGACCGTAGATCTGCCTCTCATAAACCCATGCTGAGTAATAGAGACTGCACCCCTGACCGATATAGTTTGTCATACATGTTTGCAGCTTACTTTTTCTAAGATGGGCTACCTTATGCTGAACAGGATCTTTTATGAACTGACGACAGCGTCGCGTGAGAAGTCCAGAACTGCAGAGTCGCCTACTTGACATTTTTTCTACTTGAAAATATGAACTGCATGGAATGTTATGCCATGAATGTGAATTCCAATACAGATATTAGCGTTGCGTTCCTATCATAGCGCATATTGGAATATGTCGTTAGGATGTTCAAATAGAGATTTATGCAGCTATTTACTCTTACTCTACATTGCGCCATCGAAACATTAACGTTGATACTATTAATTTAAAGTATCAATAGTTAAATTTGCTATGAATTTGTAATTTGCATTCTATATGTAGATCATTTATCACGATCGCATATCCCAGAGCAGATATAATACAGGATCTCGCTTAGAAAACGTTATACATTCATACAAGGTGTTCTAAAGTGATATGCTAATATGCCAAGATATGAGATGAGTCCTCCTTTATGACGAACAGTTCATATGAACGTATGGATTAAATTTTTAGGTATAGCGTGTTTAACTTTTAAGAGAAAAGATTTTTTATTTTATTTCCTCGGAAGTACTTCAGATAGGTAGTATTTTTATATTTGACAAGTTACAAGAGGATATAAAGTTACATATTTTAGTGCATAAAGTTGTCCTATTGTGCCACCAGTGGCGTTCCTACAAACATATCTTGTGATATGTTGTATAAAAAAATTTACGTATCTAATATTTTTTGTAGCTAACTCGCTTAAGATTAATGCATTAATGCTTTATTTTAACGTAAAACTGACGTTTCATAATTCCAAAATGGCGGTTGTGTACCATGTTCCCTTTTAAATGTATGGAGCTTCTTGGAGAATTTTATAGCCCTAGAATATAAATATCTTTTTTCTGTGACGGGAAAAAAGTTTGAAATTTTATCTCTGTTGACATGTAACAAAATGTCACTTTTTATTAAATTACTTTTTTCCCGGGAAAAAAATGAGCAGTTTTTTCCCGGATATTGTATATCCGTGATTTAGCTGACAACAATTTTTGTGACGCTACTTTGGCTACTTATACTAATTCCCGTGGAGTCAAAGAAAACTCGGAATCAGACATTTTTTACTTTATAGTGTTAAAAATAACTTCTAAACAAACACTAAGTTCACAATGTTTAAATCAAACCACAAAATTAAATTGACAGCTATTTAATTACTTTAAAAGTTTCCTTAGCAACGCAGGTCTAATTGTCGCTATAAGTACAACATAGCCTACTAATTTTAAAACTGAAATTTCTAATCGATAATTTCCTGACTTAAATATTGCAATGATATAATAAAGTCGTCGTTTATCTCGTCACAGAAAAAAATTGTGTATTATACACGGGAAAATACTAGATTTCAGCTTTCGGTCTTTTTTTTCTCCCTCAAGCTAAAATCTAGTACTTTTTTCCCTTGTATAATAAATAACTATTAAAATGGCGAATTGGAGGGTTATCAAACTCGCTTATGACAACTAATCATCAAAACGCTATATTATTGAACTTCTTCTTGTGGAACAGACTATCCGAAAATGCAAAAAGTACGAAACATTCTGTTAAAGAATGTTTGTCAAAATTTGTCATTTTTGGCCCATATTTGATCATACACTCTATATTCTGATAAATATTTTATAATGAGGAAAATTGATATAAGAAACTATAACATTTGAGAAGAGAAAAGACTAAGGGCCGTATCGTCAGTCGTTGAGTTTCATAGTTTTCTACTTTTCGTGTCAGCAGTCTATTTTGTGGTTATGTTACAAATATCTATTTGCATCAAATTGTGCATGCTTTTGATTTATATCATTATGATATATACCCTGAAGTTTCCTACAATTCACAAAGAAAACAGCATAACAATACGAGAGTGCTCACGGTGACATGGAACAGTAGAAATTTATAAATATTCCAACCTTTCTGAAGGAGAGAAAATATTCTGAAAATCAAGGAGGCCATAAAGGCATCCAAAACATTATTGTAGTACGCCGTTAGGGCCTCCTTGATTGTTATACGTAGTATTTCCTCTCCCCTCAGAGTTTCTAGATTTCTACAGTTCCGTGTCATCGTCAGCGCTCTCCTATTGTCAGGGTATATTATCCTCTTGAATTGTAGGACATTTCAGACTATATAACAGATGATATAAGTCAAAAGTATGAACAATTTGATGCAAATAGATATTTGTAACATAACCTTAAAATAGAGCGCTAGCACGGAAGAGTAGAAAACTATGAAAATCAAGAAGACCATAAAGGCGTCCTACAATTGTAGGAACAACTGACGATACGGCCCTAAATTTTACATTTACATTTACATTTAATAAAAAATCCAGTGGTTACTTTAAAATTTTCATATGTCAGTTTGTCACACGTTAAAAAATAATAATAATAATAGTAATAATAATAATAATGTACGCCTTTATTACAAAAATATGTACGTGGTACATACTGAAATTGGGACTCAACTGGCGAAGTTTAGCAATGCTACTCTTACACTTAACCAGCTGAATCAATAAATACAGTAATGATACATAGATATATATATATATATATATATAAGAGTATAACTTGAGACGTGGTCATTGTCGTCTAGACCAGTTAGGTGAAAAATTAAAGCTACCGCCTTTTGTTGGAGAACTTACATATCTCCCCAAATTTCAACTCTTCACAACCATAATTAGAATCTGTGTTTTGGCCGATTCCACCAGTAAATTTCATTCCACTCAACATATAATAATTCTCTTCTCACGATTTATTAATAATTGTTAATTTAAATTCCCATTAATTAAAATATAGTTTATTCAACTGCCTCTGGTCGGTTTAACAAATTCTTACATAAAATTCTGAAAATCTCATCATCTGAAGTGATTTGGCAACGTTTTGGCACACGCCCACAATTCGTTCCATCTTTCAACACAGACATTGACATCCTTCGGCCTTCTGTCAAAGGGTTTCATCTCACTCATTATTCCATGACCACTAATTTGTGCAATCATCAAGTGGCTTCACGATGTAATGCTGTAATGTTTTTTTAAATAATTTTTAATCTGTTTTTAACTTGTTCTTGTCATATTTTATATAATTTTGACCATTGTACAATCTATCCAGCTCTCACCATGTTACTGGACGTTTACCTCATCCTATACGTAAACAACAATTAGCAACATCCTCACATACTACTGTAAGTTGAGTCAATCTAAATTCATTTTACACTTTTGTTGCTACTGTTATCATTGTAATTGCAGCTCCTGATGATGATGGCAAAGTCCATTGAAAGCTAGAGAGAATTAAAAAAAGGTATAAAGAGTCCTCTTTGCTTAAATTTTGTCGAAGTACCCAACAA